AATTGATTACTGATACTGTTGAATTGCAAACCACCTGTTTTTAAAGCTTTGCTTTTTTTATTATAAGTAGCTGTAGAGTGACTTTATTGCAATTTTTTATATATATATATATATATATATATATATATATATATATATATATATATATATATATAATAAATGTTCTGGGGCAGCAGATCATTATTTAAGTATATATTGTTAATATAATAGACAATGAATGTCTATTATGTTTAATCATGAGCCATTCTAAACTTCGATGTTTAGAATGGCTGATGATTAAAACATAATAGACATTCCTTGTCTGATATATTTAATAATATATATATATATATATATATATATATATATATATGAACAGGGTGATTCCCAGAAACCCCGTCTACGAAACTTTGGTGTCAGGATGATGAAGGTAACAGCAATCAGCTAATGAAAACCTTTTACTTGCATATATATATATATATATATATATATATATATATATATATATATATATATATATATATAACAATAAAGTCAAAGCAATTAATCAACAGTCCATAAATTTATAATTAAAATGGTTCTGGTTAATTCTGGTTAAGAACATTAAACTGCTATGGTAAACAATAGTAAATTAATTATCGATTTTATTATCTAACTGCAGGTCACCTGCTTGAATGCTTTGCTTTTTTTAACCTTAGTGTTATGGGTTTCAGGCACTTTCTAAAAGTGATGCATATTGGCATCGCCTCAATAAGGTCAAGGACCCCACTTTCTGAAAAATCGACCACTGTAAGATTCGATACTTTATGGCCGGAAAGTGAACGTTCTAACACTCGGTCACGTGCCTAACAGACACATACACACACACACACATACATATATATATATATATATATATATATATATAGTGAGAGTGAGAAGAAGAAGAAGAAGAAAAAGAAGAAGAAGAAGAAGGAGGAGGAGGAGGAGGAGGAGAAGAAGAATAACGAGGAGAAGAATAATAAGAAGAATGACAGGAGAGGAGTGAGTAGAAGAACAAGAACAAGAAGGCCGAGGGGAGGAGGAAGATGAATAACGAAGGGGAGGAGGATGAATAAGGAGGAGGAGGAAGAAGTCGACGACGAAGAAGAAGAACAAGAACAACATAAACAACAATGAGAGAAGAAGAAGAAGAAGAAGAAGAAGAAGAAGAAGAAGAAGAAGAATTGAACGGAAGACGAGAAAGAAGAAGAAGAAGAAGAAGAATTGAACGAAAGACGAGAAGGGAAAAGAAGGAGCGAAGAAGAAGAAGAAGAAGAAGAAGAAGAAGAAGAAGAAGATGGACGAGGAAGGAAGAAGATGACGACGACTTACAAGGAACAGGACATTGTGAAGGGCCATGGTCGCCAAGGTCCTGAAGTAACACGGCACATCACAGAATAATAATAATAATAATAATAATAATAATAATAATAATAATTAGGGGTGGATGAATTGGAAGACGAATAATAATAATAAGAAAATTACACGAATAAAAGAGATTCAGGAAAACAATGCAGACGATAAAAAAAAACGAACAGACAAGAAGAATTAAAAGAATACAGTTTCTGCAGATACACTTAAAAAATAATTTTAAAATGGGTGATTAACTTGAAAATGTTTGAACGTAGAACATGGAAGGAAAGAATAACATTTGGCCTGATTTGATCGTGTGATTGAGTGTGTCTTCAAATGATAACACACATATCACCACACCAGACGACAGACACACGTATGAAAACCATATTGTTTCCAAGACCAGCCGACAGCAGTACAACAATTCTTATAGCGTCTGACATCTTCGAATCACTCGGCCGTCTTCAGCAGAAGAGACACTGATTTCCCGCCAGAAAATAATCAATAATTTTGTTTATTTCACTTCGTTGTTGTTGTTTTTGAAACGAATTTGTCATATATCCATCATCTGCCATCAGGGATAGACCTACGTTCCGCCAATATCCTACCACCCACCCACCACCACCAACGACAACTGTCAACAGCATCACGTGATTTCGATCGCCCTCCCCCGCATTTCTCGGGATCTTCTTTTAGGCGACTGTCTCCTTCGTCCCTCATTTTTAGTCGACGCGGACACACCCAAGCTTAGAATCGCGGAAGTCACGTGATGCAACACTATCATAGAAACACGCACTTAACAAGCACGCATACACACAAACAACACACACTTAACATACACGCACGGATATAAAAAAAACACAAACGCTCGCACAAAGACACACACGCACTCTCTCACACACATATATATTAATATATTTTATTGTTATACGTTATTTATATATACACAAATATTTAAGTAAATACTCTGTTAATAATAAACATTATTAACAACATTTACCGGCCTGAACGTCCGAGAAATTTCATAGAAATACACACACACACACACACACACACACACACACACACATATATATATATATATATATATATATATATATATATTTAGATAGATAGATAGATAGATAGATAGATAGATAGATATACC